TGCAATACCTTGCGACAGTCACACTTTATTTGCAAATACTGTCACTGATTTTTTTTTTTTTTGAGATAAGGTCTTGCTATATAGTCTAGGCTGGCCTCGAACTCACAGAGATCCTCCTGCCTCAGCCTCCCTAGTGCTGGGATTACAAGCATGCGCCACCACACCCAGGTGACACGATCATTTTCCAGATGATGACCCTGAAGGTCAGAAAGCCTGAGTAGCAGTTCTGCTGAGGTAAGTGAACAGCACACTTTCCTGTCATGCAGTAATTAACTGCGCCTGAGCGGTCTGATCGTTCCACCTCTGCAGGGTTGGGCTGGGGAATACACTCTCGTGTGCAAACGTACCTCTTTCGCTCACCTGCAAGAGGAAGAGGAAGAAAGCGCTGGAGTGCCACAGTGAACGCCACTGTGCCAATAAATAGCGCAACGCCCGCAGTGCTGGGATCAGCGATTCTATGCCTACATAAAACGATGATTGCTTTCACAAGCCGTCTCTGCTTGCTACTGACAGAGAGCAACCTAACCAGGAGACCCAACGGCAGCCTTTAAATAACCAAGGGGAGAGAGCAAAATAAAAATAAATCTTGGGCAGATTTATAGGAAGACCTTGATTAGTTCTTGTTTTTTTTCTTTCAAATAAGTAACACTTGAAAAAAAATGAAAAGCGCTGCAGGGAGCTGATACCATGTGACAGATGGGTTTCTCTGACGTACAGTACGGAAAAATGGTGGAGCAGAGCGCAGCAGGGAGAGAGGCCAAGGGGAGTTTGGGGGTAGCTGAATGGTGAGTTCTACCACCTGCATCTGAGCAAATTATTATTTCCTTAGCTGCACTTTGCAGAGTTTGTTATGGTATAGCATTTTGTCATTTTTCTCCAACACAATCGTTCATGAGGGTTTCTTTTTTCCTCCCATTGGAAACTGTTTTTTGACTCAAAATTTCTCTTGGTAAGAATAATGAAGCACACTTCATCCGGATGTCCTTCCGGCGCTGGCTAATGAGAAGTTACCATTTGTAAGGATGCAAGTATGAGGACTGTGAAACAACTGCAATACCTACACTCAGCTTCCCGAAGCGCTGCACCTCGGTTATTCAAAATGCCAGTCAGTACAATGAGGAATTGCTATTTTTCAACCAACAAAGGTCTCGTTTTTCTATAAACCCCCATTTTAATGCAGCCTTCTTCATTCCCCCGGGCAGTGCTTTATCTGTGATGCACTTGGTGAGTTGAATCAAAATACCTGTTCCAGGGAAGAAGGCTCCCATCAAAGCTGTTGGAATCTGATTTCATTTCAGATTCTAGAACTAATGTTGCTCTTTGTTTAAATAGATTCCTACCCGTCCGCTTCCAGCCCTGCCATTCCGTCCGCCTGTACGGACTGCTGCGGTCAACACACCAGTGGTAGCAGCAAATTTTATTATGGACTCGTAATTGAACTGAACAGGTTCTCCTTTGAATAGATTTGCTGCACCCCAATCTCTGACATCCTGCGAGGGCCCAAAGGCCCTCTGCATCCATAAAGGCCCATTTAGGATGTTACCACTCTCTCCAGGCTCAGAAAGCCAGGCTTGCCCCAAGGAAATGGCCACATGTAATTGTGCATTTATATGTGTGAATGTGGGGGGGGGGTCAACGTTTCACTGCGTGTTTTTAGGTACAACAGAAAATAGAATGTTCCTTATTTACTCAGAAAGAGCCCATCCTTCTGTTTGAGGGAGAGAAAAGAGGGACCCACAAAACAGATATTTTGCCATCTGAGTGGACAAGAGGAAGCAAAGGAAAATAAACTACTACTTGAGCATATTGGACATGGCAGCTATGGCATGGAAAACAGCTGCTGGGCAAGAGCAATGAGGAGGTGTTACTTGTAGACAAGCACCCCGACGCCTCGGCCCACAGGTGCCGAGCTACCTGCCGTTCACACCTCTCGGTCCTTTCCTGGCACCCTCCTGCTCGCTTCTGCTAGCTGGAGAAGTTATGGAGGGGGAAATGTTTCTTTCTCCCCGTCTTAAACTCAGAAAGACAATCAGTCCAGCAAATTACACCAGTAGAATCAAAGGAATCAAGGTTTCTATCACCTTACAAGCAGCGGCTATCTAGGTGCTTCATTTTTTAGAAAATAAAGTCCAGGACCAGGGATGTAGCTCAGCGTCACAGGGCCTGCCTGGCAAGCACGAGGCCCTGAGTCCCATTCCCAGTACCAAAAAGAAAATAGTAAAAAAAAGAAAGAAAGAAAATAAAGTGCAAGTCTAGAACCTGCAGAAGGTGCTCACTGGTAGACGACCTGTGGGATACTTGCAAAGCTATTTGCATTTTTAGAAGTTCTCAGTGTTCAAGTTGGAAACCGCTCTTCATTCAGGTTCTGTGAAGGAGCCTAAGTTCACCCTGAATCTCTACATTTCAACATGGGAACATAAACACAATAAAAGCGAAAACAGAGTGTCCACCACATACCACACTCGGAATCACACTTATTGTGCGTTTTGTTGGTGTGGTCAGAGTAGAACCCACATTCTGAAGGAGGTTTCTTTCATTCCTCTGCTGCCCATTCATTGAAGGTAGTGGCCAGGACAAAGTTTTTCACCTAAGAGAGTGAACAATCACCAGCACCGCAAGGAGAAAGAACCTTTCTTGTGTCTTGTGGGTTCGCAGGTGGTTGCTGAGTTTGACTTTGTCAAACACGCTTATTTGGGTAAGACTCCTAGACATATAAAAGGACCCGGGGGGGGGGCGGGGACAGTCAAGGAGGTTACTGAAGGGATGGACGTGACCAAAATGTTACATGCATGGACAGAAAAGTCACAAGGAAACCCAACACTTTAAAAATGTCTATGCATTTTTTTCAGTGGTTCCTCAGCATTTTCATGTAGGTCTACCTAGACTGCGTCTACCTTTCTTTCATTTTCTGATTGCTGGAGCCTAGAACAGCACCTGGCTCATAACAGGCCCTTAAATACTCAGCAAACAAACCAGGCTTGGTGGCCTGCAACTGCAGCCCCAACCACTTGGGGAGACTGAGGCAGGAGGATCACTTGGGACCAGGAGTTCATAGCCAGCTCGGGCAACAACAGTGAAACTTTTGTCTTTAACAATAACAAAAAAGCTGTCAGATCCACAGCACTCCCAAGCAACAAACTATGAGTTTAAAACATGTTAACTGAGAAATTCTAAGTGTGCCAAATGCTACAGAGGGAAAGGTCCTGCCTGCCCTCTTCTGCTTTATTTTCATCTTTGTCAGGGTTGCAGGTGGAGCCCGGGCCTCACTCGTGCCGGGCAAGTGCTCAGCTCCTGAGCATCATACCTGCCCTTGTCGCCTGCCCCAGCCAGGCTGCCAGCCCTAACGCATCCCGGCTCTGCACCTGCAAGGCTCACGGCCACACCCGTCCTGTCCGAGGCTTCCTCCCTCCCCCAGGTGGACAACGCGTTCATGTTCCGCTTGACAGTGTCTCTTGGCTGGCTTTTCGTAATGTTTGGATTAGAAGTTTGTTCATGGCTTTTTCGTTTTGTTTTGTTTTTGGGTACTGGGAATCGAACTCAGGACCTTGCGCTTGCCAGGCAGGCACTTAGGCCACTGAGCTAAATCCCCAGCCCCTGTTCAAGGCTCTTTCAAGGGAAGAGCCAAACGGAAGATGTTCAGAGGCACCCGAGGGCGTTTTCTCTGCTCCTACCGGGCACACAAGCACGGTGGATATGGCAGGGACTCGTGTTCCTCACAACAGTCCGATCTACTGCTCTCGCTGGGCCCTAGGTCACAGAGCAGCAGGAATGCTGGAACAGGAGAAAACATGGTCCAGCTGGGAGAGCTGGTGATGTCACTGCCACTGGAAGTGCTGTTCCCCACGGCGAATTCACACTGGGGTCGGTTTGGACTTAGGTTAAAAGAAATGCTCTCCACCGGCAACCAAATATACAAATTTATCAGGGACGTCCAGGTGGCAAAGCATGTTTCTGCTGTGTAACAAAACTGTACCTTTAAATACTTCATTAACTTAATTTTCTTCCTGCTTTCCCCCTAATACTAGGGATTGAACCCAGGGCCTTCACGCTGAGCTACAATTCTAGACCTTTTGTTTCACTGTTACATTTTATTTTGAGACAGGGTCTCCCTAAGTCCCTCATTGCCCAGATTGCACTAAAACCTGTGTCCCTCTGGCTTCTGGCTCCCAGGGGGCTGAGACTGCAGGCTTCTCTCGGCCTTATTTTCCTTTGTTACTTCATAAAGTTACATTTATTTTAAACTCTGAGAAACTAAAGAAACGGGGCTGTGAGTGTAGCACGAGGAATGCATATCTGGGAGCGCCCAGGCTGGCTCGCAAAGCAAAGGGCATTCTTCCTCTTCCTCCGAGCTCAAACGTGAGCGTCACCAGACAAAGCCTCAGGACCTGGGAGCAGCGGAGTTGCTGCATGGCATCCAGAGTCCTGGGCTCGGTTCCCGGCCCCCAACTTCTTCACTCGGAGTGGAAGCAACCTGTTGGCGCCCACTATGCGTCTCCAGTTACCCATCTGCGTTCGTCCTTTTCATCCCCAAGTAGAAAGCAGAGAGAAGGAACTCTAATATCACACCAAAAAGACTACGGTAGAAAAGACGCCCGCAAGATAAGGCCGGAGGAGAATGAGACCGGCCTCCAATGCAAGGGGACCTCTGACGCCGGTCGGGGAGCTAGTGACGAGGAGAACATCAAACAGGCAGCGCCAGCAGCCTCCTGGCCTTTGTCTTCGGTTTTTCTGTCTGCAAGTGGTGAAGACGAACGGGCCGGACTGTCCCCCACCCCGTGGCCCTGCTCACACCAGGGTGTCCTACCTTGCCCCTCCTCCTCATTGTCAAGGAGCCGCCAGCCACCCGCGCGGTCAGGCGCAGGGCGCATTCTGCCGTAGACTCGGGGGGGCACCGCCTGGAACCCCACCTTTCCCCAGAGTCTCTAGCATCGGTGCAGTTCCCGGGGCCAGCAACCCCGGCCCCCCAAACCTGAAGCGTGGGAACCCCAGCGGACCCTTACCTTCCTTCAGCATACCCACTTTCAGACACTTCATGAAGCGGCACGCCTGGCAGGATTTGCGTCTGCGCTTCGTGATTTCGCACTCGTTCGTGGCCGGGCAGCTGTATTCTATGTTACCTGGGACACAGAGTTGGAAGAAAAGAAGGCGTTAGACTCAGAAATCCCCAGACATGCACACATCCTCAACAGAAAGAGTCAGGTCTGCGACGCCTGCTGCCTGCCCCAGAGAAGTCCCAGGAGCCGGGCACGTGGGGTGTGAGAAAAGTCAGGGAACTGGAGAAGCTGCTGCCACCACTGACCAAGCGCATGAACGCATGCCTGTGATCCTAGCTCGCAGGAGGCTGAGGCAAGAGGATCAATGCCAGCCTGTGCTACATTGTAAGACCCTGCTCCCCCAAACAAAATAAAACAAAACAACAAAAAAAATAAAATTAGGTCTTCATATAACCAGGCTAGGAAGGCTGAGGCAGGAAGATAGGCAGTTCATGGTGGCTAGCCTGTGCTACAATAGCAGGCTGAAGGCCAGCCTGAGCTACACAGTGAGAACCTGTCTCTAAAAAACAAAAAAAACTTTAAGCTCATAACTACTTTGAAATTTCTTCTGGACTCTCAGATTTTAGAAAGCTGCTACTTTGCATGGGTGGACTAAAGCACTAAGCAAATATGGTTTTCCTTGGGATCCAAAAGGTATTTTAAAGCAGAGTATGTTCACAAAAACACAAACATCTCCGGGCATGGTGGAGCATTCCTGTAATCCCAGAACATGGGAGGCTGAGGCAGGAGGATCACCACAAGTTCAAGACCACCATGGGCTCCATAGTGAGTTCAAGGCAGCCTGAACTACATAGCAAGATCCTGCCTCAAACAAAAAACAAGCCCAAACTATTTTTTGTTTGTTTGTTTTGTTTTTTTGTTTTATTTTGTTTTGTTTTTCTTCTGGTACCAGGAATCGAATTCACGACCTTGCGCTTGCTGGGCAGGCACTTTGCCACTGAGCTAAATCCCCAGCCCCAAGCCAAACTATTCTTGTATAGTCACATGTGGACATTTTCTTCTGGTGACTAAACCCTTTGTACGTAAGGCCTACTGTCTTCCTGACACAGAGCATCGTATACCCCGCAGTGTGAAAAGATCAGCAGGTTAGCATGGGCTCTCGCCGCTCCTAGAGGGCAGGCACAGAAATGCCACTGTTCCAGCTGCGAGAATTTCCAGAAGCTGACAGCACGATTCCCCGCTTGGTAAACGCTTACTGATAGGACAGTGGCAACCAGGGTGACGGTGATCCTTATGTCAGTTACTCACTGGCATCCTTAATGCCAGACACTCAAGGCCCCAGGGAATGTGATAAATATTAAGCTGCTCTGAAGTTATATTCTTAATATTAGACTTTACATCAGTTCTGGTAACACCTACGTATTTGAAATGCTAAATATATACCCGGAAGAAGATTGGAACCTTAAATATTTTTCATTCAGAGGGAGTGTGAGGGTGTGGGCTGTGCTCTGGGCTGCCTGTGCAACCGGCCTCCTTCTCTCTCCCCTGCTGGCGCTGGCCGGCCTTGCACTCCTCCCTAGCCTCACCCCTGGTGATTAAGTGCATTAGTATCTTAATGAAAATGCATTCTGCTTATTGCCCTCTTGGGACGGGGGAGGTCATCACACCAAATGCATAAACTGTCACTGGGGACGGGCTGAGCGTAATTGCAATGCTACTGCTCTGGGTGTGCAATTCTGGAGTCCATCCCAGCCCCTCGAAAATGGGCAGGTCCTAGTCACTAGCATGGAGGCTTCCCAGGACCGCAGCAAGGATGAAATATTTCAGAGTTCATCACACTTTGTGAACACTGATTTATATTGACTACCTTTCGCAGACTGATGTCTCCCCTTAAACATCACATTAGTGGAGTGCAGGATGGAACCGACCTCAACCTCTCAGCAATGGCTAATGCAACAGGAAGTGTTTCCTAGCCACGCAGCACTTCGAGAACTGGTTAGGTACTCATGACTTATAATCTGGGCATTCTAGCCAGGCGTGCGGGCACATGCCTGTAGTCTCAGCACTCAGGAGGCTGAGGCAGGAGGATCGTTGCTAGTTCAAGACCAGCCTGGGCTACAAGGTGAGCTCAAGGCCAGCCTGAACTGCACAGTGAGACCCTGTCTCAAAAAGACAAAAAACAACAACAACAAAAGAATCTGGGCATTCTAACTTGAGCTATACATACTGACTCTGTATGGCTAAATTATCATTCTAGTAGTATAAAGGCATGTGGAGTAATAAAAGCAGCTCGTTTTAACGTGAGGTTAAATAATAACATTAAGTGTGTCAATGGATATTCACCATCACCTTCCTCAGAAATGTTGGTGATACTCTACTGGGGAAACGCAGGAAGTCAGAGGGACCAAGAAGCCTGGAGGCAGGCTGAGAAAACGAAGGGTCTGGAAGCTGAACATTACATGAGCCACTTTTCACTGCAGTGTCTTCAACCTCCCTGGAACTTTATTTCTCCTCGAGAGTACTGCTAGCAAGAGCCCGAGCATTAGTGTCCCACCCCTGTGTCCCTTCCATTCTGTGTAACTTTCTCTATCCTTCACTGGAAAGAAACTGGAACCCGGGCGTGGTGGTGCACACCTGTAACACCAGCAGTGGGGAGGCTGAGGCAGGAGGATTGCGTTCATTTGAGGCCAGCCTGAACTATATAGTGAGATCCTGCCTCAAAACACTAAATAATAATGATAATAATAATAATAGAAGAAGAAGAAGATAAAATAAAATGAAGCCCTTGTCCTCTTAGGAATGACTGAACAGTGACCACTTAGAGGGACCAGAAAAACAATGCTAAGCGCTTTTCTTTCCCTTCGCACCTGAGAAGTCACGTGCAGGCATCCTGGTGCTCGTCCCAGACTGCAGTTGGAGCCCTCGTCCTCACCCGTCAGCGCGGGCTGGAAATGTCCAGGTGACCTGGTGCCAGAAACACCCTAGCCTTTCCTCCCAGGCCCTCCTCCTCCTCCTCTCAGGAGGCCCTCGCCCAGGCTGCCAGGGGCACACTGGCTCTGGGCAGCAGAGCCCTTGCCCCACGGGGGCTCTGGTTCTCGGTCAGCAGCACACTCTGCGCCCGAGGCCACAGGCAATGTCCTGTCCCAGGCTCGCCGTCCCCACCTGTCCAGAATCGCCACTCTGGCTCCTCAGAACGAAACTCAACATGGCCGATTCCACTCCCTTCTCTCCCACCTCGTGTCCTTCAAGGCTGCCCTCCGCGGATCGCCTATCTCCGCCTGCCTTTCCTTCTTACAATTACTTTCTAGACTCCATGTTCCACTTCAGCTCCACTCAGATCTCTCAGGAAAACTTCCCAGACCCTGTTAGCAGAAAGTGCTTCCTTGGTCCCCACAGCTCTGCGAGCCAGCCGCCTGCTCTGACCTCCACGGGTGCGCAGGCTCCTGGGCGGGGAGACACGGGGATGAGGGCCGCCTCTGCCGCAGGGTGGAAAGGTGCACGTACGTGACAGAAGAAACTCAGTCAGTGATACGTTCTTGGCTCAAGGTCGTCACAACCACGGACATGGCTGTGTTCCCGTAACACAGTAATAGCCACTGTGCCCCACGAGCCGGGTGTCCTCGTGGGAAGCAATATTAAGAAGACAACTCCACAAGTATTGATGAGCGGAGAAGGAAATCCAGCTAATTTTTCAAAACCTTGCGAGATACTTTTGGCAAAACCAGAAATGTTTGGCAGCTAGGTGCGGTGGCACATGCCTATAATCCCAGCTCTCAGAAGGCTGAGACAGGAGGATTGCAGTGATTTAGAAGCCAGCCTGGGCTATACAGTAAGTTCAAGGCCAGCTTGGACTAGATAACATGACTCTGCCTCCAAAAACCTCAAAAAACAAAAAGAAAGAAAGAAAGAAAGAAAGAAAGAAAGAAAGAAAGAAAGAAAGAAAGAAAGAAAGAAAGAAAGAAAGAAAGAAAAAGAAGAAATGCATGGCAAAAAGGAAGCATTAAAGATAAAATATATATCTCTATATGAAATATTCTAATATATAGAAAAAACTTCTGCAGAGAGCAATCTGAAAAGAAAGAGAAAGCGAAAGGAAAAGTATTAAAGAGAATCTGTAAGAGCCTCTAAAGAAATAAAAGTGCCGCCTGCCTGGCAAGCGCAAGGTCGTGAGTTCGGTTCCTGGTACCGGAGAAAAACCAAAAAAAAAAGAAATAAAAGTGCATCCCGGTACGAACAGAATAAGAAAAGGAAACTAAACTATAAAAACACAAGCAATATAGGTGGCACTAGAAGCATCGTTGTGCTTTTGTTGTTAAAGCTTGTCCTTACCGACAAAAAAGCCGCTCCAAGAACCGGACCACGTTGGAGAAAATACTTAGGAGTGACTCAGTAATGGTAATAACCAAATCTACCAATGATAATTGCACAAATAATCACGTGAAGATTTTTACATTTCTCCAAAGAGCAAGGGGGAAATTGCCGAACTGGCTCTGGGGGTGCTCCGTTCGCGATGACAAAGACCACCTGTCTATCCGCTGCCTTCCATAACTCTTCAATGGCCAAGAGGAACGCGAGGCGGGGGGATTTTAACGGTGCTTTCAGATGAGCCATTGACAGAAGAGCTCTGTAGTATTCCGGGCTGAACCCTCAGCGCTTACAAATGAGCCCAGAGCACGCAGTGACCAGGACAGCAGGACGCGTCCAGGCCAGGGGTGCTCAGCACAAGTGCATAGTGACAGCGTGGGAACAGAGGTGACGCTGGGGCCCAGCCTGCACTCTGCCGTGTTGGGGTAGGAGAGGGTCCTCCCAGAGCCACAGGAGCCCCGACGGCATCTTAATAGAAAATTTCACTGTGAATGGAAGGATAACAGAGCTGCCCAGGTTTCCCACATGATACAATTTGAATGGAAAGCCACAGACAGTGTCTTGACACCCAGGGCGGTGAGTATGGTCTCCCTGAGTAACCCCGTTATTTCTACCTTGGTACACAAACCAACAGTCTTCTTCACGGCTTCTTTGCGGGAGGAAAAGCTCTCTCCTCAGCAGTCCATCCCCGCCACGCCAGGGCTGCTAATGTCCAGGTAACCCGGCGCCAGAAGCACCCTGGCCTTTCCTCCCAGGCT